CCACTATGCTGGTCTATGTGTGCAGAACGGCAGCTCAGCATCTCTGTACGCCTCCAGCTGCAGCACCCGCATTAATATCAAATGAAGCTGTGCTCACAAAGGGTGTTACGCTTGCCAGCTCCAGAGGAATCTGCTCCTAATGAGCGACTTCAAAGCATTAATGAGCTTGCAAAGCTCTCCTCTTCGTTTACAGAGCCGGACCTCGCACGCTTGGCATTAAGACAGGGGTCACCCGTCAGACGAAGAGAATGCGTGTGCATGTCGGCGAATATAATATATTTGTCATCCTCTAAGAAGCAAAGATTAATCATGCCCTCTCCTAGAGGAAGCTTTTATACCACATCTGCTCTTCACAGCATGGGGAGAAAGGAGCTGCCCTCAAGGACATCCATGACCTGCGCCCCTCATATTCCCATAGTACCCAGCTTTGAAGTTAACACTGACTGTAATCCCATGGGTCCATCTGGGAAATGCTGCCTGAACTGGCATCCTGAGTGCTGAATAAAGCAGTAGGGTCACTTTCTCCAGGGATGTCTCTCCCCTAGCCACATCCCCTTCTTTGCTTCCCCTAGCTCACTGTAGTCTCTGGCTTGAAGCAGCCCCCCAGTGCCTGGCTAACAGCCCTGTTGCACTCATTTGAGAACTGAAGCTGAGTCTCCAAGGCTGATCAAAATTTTAGAAGATTCTAAATATAATGCATAATCACAGCCTATAACCTTCAGCCAGGAGACAGCAGGCACACAGGCTGCTTAAGGAAGATGATTACGGACATATTCTGAAGTCAGAAAGGTGTAGTCCTTAGGTTCAGAAACACATTGGCAATGCTAACAGGGAAGCAGATCCTCCTCTCACTTCTCAGAAGAGATCTCTTGACACTCAGTGTCTATTCAGTAGATCTGTGTTTAATTTAAACAGCCACTGGAGGCAACTGCCATCCCACACGTTATTACTGCAGCTGGAGGGTGGCTGATTGGTAGTTAAGAAAAAGACAAAAATCCAAAGCCATGCAGTCATGAGCAAGGCAGGCTAAAAGTGGCACTTTGTAAGAGATTTCAAGACAAAACTTCTCTGCTTTACTAATGCGGGGGTGAAAATGATCTCTGCATCCTCACTTTAGAAACTGGCTGGCAAAGAGAAGCAGTAGGATGAGGTTCTCCTCCATGTTTTTTCTGTGCCCTCTCTTGCTATAAGAGCATTTTGCTGCATAGGCATCGACCATCAGGAGCACAAAATGATGGCATGTTTGGCTCAGAGCAGCCCCACCAGGGTCATTTAGATGGAGTGAGACGCAACAGCTTGGCTTCTCCTTGCCCAACAGGCTTGCTGCTTATCACTCATATGCTGAGTACATGTAGCACTTAATAAGGAAGCTCTTTGAACTTTAAAAATAGAGTGCATCTAAAGACGCTGTCACACGTAACTGCAAGCTTGTACCACATTTGGAAAGTAGCTGGAGCTCACTGACAAAAAGAAAAGTGGAACAGGTTAATGTTACCGTGCAGCTGGTCCCCGGTAGCTTTCAGAATAAAGAAGCAAGCAAGCACAGAAGCTCACTCATCCTTCCTATTTCTGCTGCCTCTGAAGAGGCAGTTCAGGAAACCAAGCCGCCTCAATTTACATGCAGCTGGCTTTCCTTCAGAAGGACTCAGAGATGCACGTTATAGGCTTACTTAGGTGGAAGTTTGTTCTCTGCAGAATGTGACATGATGCCCCACTGCTTGATGGCTCTATAGCTCAAGAGGAAAGCTTTTCCATGAACCTTGCATATAGCTGCATTTAGCCAGAAGAAGCAAAGGTCTGGTTCTGTGGGCACACAGGCAGGATTAAAAACCAATGGCCTCGTGAAGGATATTTACCCCAGAGGGAAAGCACATTTTCTTTGTTGATTAAGTTCCATGGCAGTAAGTGATAGCAAATAATGCATTACTTTCTCCTGTTCAGGAATGATCTTCCACCTGTTTGCTATTTTCCACAAGCTATCGTTACTTTAAATTACCCTCTCAGCATTTTCCAAAAACATCTTTTGGACAACAGATAGGATCTCTAAAATAAATTAATCTTGAGGACTCAAAACACTTCGGCTTCACATCATTGCTTCTTCTTTGGTTCTGAATGGGCTTCCATTATAAATGTTGATGGTTTAGCATTTCAAAGCCATCACCTTCCTAGCCTGTCATTCCAACACGTATTCTGGACAGGATGCTAGTGTAGCTCATCAAGGTTTTACCTTTATTTAGCCCAGACAAGATATTGAGAAAGAAACCATCACAGACTCATCTCTCCCTGTCACTGTTCCAAACATCATCAAATACAGCACAGAGAAATGAGTCACAGCTGTGCAGAAAAGAAAGCTCAAGAACACACTGAGGATCACAGGGATGTGAAATTGGTATCTCAGATGTTGGGTGCCCAAACCATGAAGACAAAAAGGGACCCAATGCAAATGAGACATTCAGTGCATATTCATCTAGTCTTGCCAAGTGCCATCTGCCAGACTTTTTCTACAGCCATTGCAGAGAGAAAAACATTCAAAGAGGGCTTCATCCCATCTAGGGCATCTAAAAGAGGGGGAAATTCATGCTTTCTGGAACAGAAGCAAAGGAACAAAGTTCATTTGATTAGTTTAAGCTAGACACCTACTTGCAGGTAACAAGATTCAGGGGCTGTTGTATCTGCCTGTGGGAGAGGGCCCTACAACAGGCAGACCTGGATGCTAACCTTACTGTTTCTAGAGGCTGAACAACCAGCACCAGAGGCTTTTATCGAATTGGAAGCCTGGTTGGTTCTAGTTCAAGGCAGATGATTTCTGAAGATCCCTTAAAACTCCATACCTGAATTTCACCAGATACCTGTGAACCACATTCCGTTACGGACGTTTTGAAATCACGCTGGAAAACGCTGTGCGTTCCGTATTCTTGGCTGTCTTTTAGCACTACAAAGGAACATTCCATTGGAAATCAGAGAAGGCAATTTTTTTATGGGACATACTTAGGAAACGCTACAGTATGCTGCACAGAAGCAACCCGAAAAAGAAATGAAGCAATTAAGTTATCACATAGACAAACACCAGCAGAAGGGGCTTGCATGTGTCAGAGAAATCAGCTGCAATTACTTGTCTAGCTTGGACAAGGCGTTGGAACGAATGGCAAAACACCTGATGCTTCACCTGCAGCATCAGCGCTACCCACCACTGCTCACCGGCTCAGCAGGGAAGCGCGCAGGCAACATATCACATCCCAGATGTCAAGGTGTGTCTGCATGAATTCCTAAAATGACATGTGTTCTTTAGCCTAGAGCTTGGCTCCAGGCTAAGAGCTAAATTCGATGTTCTCTGTGGCTAAAACTTCTTCAAAAACCATTCTGGGTTAATTAGAGAAGAGAAATTTTGGCTGCACAATCTGTAAAAGAAGATTGGCTTGGGAAATGGTATGAAAGTCGCGGTTTTTGCAAGAGCAAAGAGGAAGAACAGGCTCATTTCTAAAAGCGCTGCACCTAAGAACTTCAGAAAAGCACAGAACTTCACTGAAATATAATGAAAGGCACTGCCTGAAAGCAGAACATCTCCTTTGGCTCAGCACATCCTCTCCCAGAGGCACCACATCATTCCTGCTGCTCACAAAACAGCTTCTGTCTCCTTTTAATAGTTTTATTTTTAGACTTTTCTCATATTTAATTCTTTCCCTTTCCTTATGTAAGGTTCTTGGAAGGGCTGCGGTGTCAAACAATAATTGCATCAGAGAAAATTTAGAATCCACAGTGTTAAAACGAGCCTCTGCTCTTGACAAGTGAATGAATGTAGGAAGTGAGGGGATGAAGTTTTATCAAGGAGAGTACCCAGCTGGCACTGTGACAGCATCTCTCATGGGCTGGGGGCACCTGCCTTCAGATGGCAGCAGTCTCAGCCTGGAGCACATCAGTACATGCCTGGGATTAGCACAGTCTGAGACCCAGATGCACAGTTACAAGGTGCTATCTGCACATACATGTCTCTCCGCATGAACAACCTTGAAGAAGGATTAAAATACAGTTTTGCCATCCTCTCACCACTCCTGGTTGAGCTGAAATGCCCTCATTTCACTCCTGGTTGAGCTGTAGCTGCACCTCAGCTGAGGATCAGACGTTTCCCAGTGTCCAGCACCGAGCCTATCAGAGCAGAAGTGAAAGAAAAAAAAAAAAAGAGAGATCCACTTCCCTGTGTTTCTGAGGATATAAGTACCCCAAAAAATGGGGTTCTGAAACTTTTATAAATTATCCCCTTTCTCCTGTATGTGCTGTATCTTTGCTGGCAATTAAATGGTGTTAAAGCTGCATCTCCGACCAACACAACGCTGAATCTTGGATTTGCCAATATTGCCACTGACCAAGGAAGCCCATGGAAATAATCTCCAAGTACCTGGTTTGCATTTTCCAACAAGAAAACAGAGAAGGGTGAATCTGATCCTCCACTCATAGCAAAAATCAGCAATCAATGAAGCAGCTATGGGTGAAAAGACTTACAGAACAAACAGGGAAAAGTTTTCCTCTCCACAAGAGCACCAGCTACCTTGCAGAAAACTCCAAGTCGACTCCAAATAGAAATACTGACAGGTATCAGTGGGACTATCTGTCATGCAATGTCTAAAATCGGGCTATAGTGAAGAGTAGGTGTACAGAGTGAGCTCACACATAGTGTGTACAAGAGCTTTCTAGGGATAGTATGTTTATAGAATATATATATATATATATTTCTCCATATGGGTTACCAGCTGGACTTCTTTGATGTCTCAGAAGACCATCTTGCTAAAATCATCAATGACAAAACCCAGGATTCTCCCAATTAGATATAACATGTGAAGGAAACTGTTGAAAGCTGAGCTCGCCTGCTCAGTGGGTTTACCACCACCTGACAGGAGGGAGCATGGACCACGTGCATCTGTGCCTTCATTTATTTCCTTTATATCTCATGTTACCAAGTTAAAGGACAAAATCTCAAGAGAAGAAGAGTGAGGAGGAAGACAAACCTGTAGAGACTGTTCTAGTTGTTGACAGCTTCACAGTTCCAGCATAGGTCCTCTGCCCCACATTTGAGATGCTACAGTTTGCTCTTCCTCCTTCTCCCCATGTCCACCAGCTCAGCTTCTGTCCATGCAGTCCTTCAACCTCCTGTCCACAGTGGGTCCAGGCTGCATCAAGGTGGAGCTGGCTCCTACAAGAGAGTACAGCCCAAGCAAGTCTCTCATGCCGTGAGGTAGGTAGCTTCCTGGGAAAACAGAAAACAAACTCCCAAAGTAGAACTTTTTTCTTTCTTTCTTTCTTTTTTTTCAAAAAAAGTTCTTCAATTTTCTTCTATTTCTCTGCATCTAATGTTAGTCGGTTATTTTGTTTTGTTTGACATTCATTCTTCAACAGAGCCACAGTGAAATGGTGTGAAGCCCCTCTGAAGTCATGTGGTCTTCAAGCACTTACCTCCCATAGCTCCCTTCAAAACACCGGATGGTAAACAATAGAAGAATACTTCTAGCATATTCCACTCATTCATCTGCTTTCTTTAGTTATTTTTCCTTTTCGTGCCTTTTTTTTTTTTTAATATAGCCTTTCTTCTCGAATTTAAAGCCTGACTTTTAATAATTAGGCAAAATAAGCCACGTGGGGGCTTTTTACAACCTGTTTTAAAAGTTGAGTTTTGAAAAGTAGACAATGAAATTATTATTATTTCATCGCGCAGCTATGCAAAGGCGCAGGGGAAAGAGAGAGGAGACGCCGGTATTTGTTTTTTGGCTTTAAATGACTGTGACAAACAAAGAACAGCTCCACACTTGGTCCACAATTGAGCTAATTGGTAACACCTCAAACTGTATGTCCTAAAAGCTCCTAATTAGCAGCTAAGCGTAGGATAAATGAGGAAGCATTTGCTCCTTTGTGCTCTAGCAGACCTGTGAATGCATAATAGACAGCTAAATTTACGACCCCAAAACATCCCGTTTAGTGTGTAACCATGCAAGCAGCAATGTGTGCATGTGTGTGCATGGTTCTTGTTCTGTGCTTACAAAGCGCCTACCACGATGGGTGTGTGGTCCTTAACGCATCCTTTAGGAAACTGGGACCTTACCTAAAAGCTGTAGATATCATTTTCAAGGAGGCTTCTGCTGCCTTCAGCAAGCTCCAGCAAGGTCAGGGCCCGTGGGGAAATGCTCACTGCTGACTTCCCCATTTAATTTCAGAGAGCTCCCAAGGAACTTCCCTCTCTGTGCTCTTTCCTTTGCCACCAAACCCGTTCACACTGTGGGAAGGTGCTCAAAGCAGCATGGCAAGAAGCTAAAGGAATGGGAAAAAAGAAGGCAGAAGCCTTAGAAAACTTGTTTCTGCAAGTCTTTCATCACTGTGAGAGAGCTAAGAATTATATATCCAGGACAGCAATTCACACATTCAACATTCATGCTGGAAGATGTTGGCAATGGAGGCGTTGCAATGAGAATGGCTTACAGTGTGATGAGGAAGTACAGCTGGAGTCCTCTAGCTTCTGTCTGTGATATGGGCCCAGAATCAGAGGTGAGCTTCTCTTGTCTGTTTGATGGCCCCCTGAAATGAGTTCATAGAATCATTAAGTTTGGAAAAGACCTCTAAGATCATCAAGTCCAACCATCAACCCCATGACCACCATGCCTGTAGCACAAAGCAATGCAGGACAGGCATTTCTAGAGATCAGCATCTTTATCACAAAAGGAGAAGATGGATAACTCACGAAGGCAGCAGCTGTGTTTCCCTCCCAGGTAGCACCTGGGATACCCAAGGCTGGTTGGTAAGAGCAGGAAGCACTGAGACTAATGCTTAAAAATTCAGGAAGGACTGCCAGGTGCAGAAGCAGAAGATGAGGCAGTGGCACCGCATTTTCCTGAAATGCAACATTAGTCCCCTTGTAGAGATGGATGAAGCTGAAGTTTTGCAGCAGCTGTCCCCACTGCACTCTTCTGTGATTAAATTCGGTCTCCTTTTCTGAAGCACTGACATGGGCAGAGACGCTTAGCTGCCTCCTCCTGTCTGTCTCTGGAGGGACGGAGGCACGGACCTTATGACAACACTGGTCCAGCTGCCATCAGTATCAAAATAGATGTGAGATGCAGGAAACTGGTGGCACACTACAGAGACTCTTGGTAATGATGTAACTCCTCCCCAGGAATGGGAATGCATCAGTTCTGTACACAGACTGATGGAGAGGGACAGGACATGCCCCAAGTGAGCAAAAGCAATTGCCTTCCCTGCAGCTCCCTCCTGCAGCAGGTGAGCCACAGCTATTGCCATAAGGCCAACAAGTGTTTAACAAAAGCCTGTCTTCGGGCATGCTCTGCTCTGCTGTCTGCACGGCTGTGCAAGGCAGATTGCTGGCTCTTATTAGCTAAATAAACAAGCAGCAAAAGTTGAGCAGAGTGGAAGCACATACACAGCTTGTCTGCAAATAGAGACAAACGCCTCCATCGCATGGTTGCACCCAGCTGTCTGACTGTTACCTGCTTAAATGGCTTTAATTTCACATTAAGGTCAGCGCAGGCAGAGCTTCTCCTCCAGGGTGGAAAACCTGCCTAATGAGACACTCAGGTTTGTACTGAGCCCATGCTGAGTGCTTCAGGGAGCTTGGTCTTTCCCTAGGACTAAAGGGGTCCCAGCTTGGGTGCTGGGCTCACCAGCCAGGCACTTCTCTGCCTTCTTGCTGAAATTATGGGCTATCTCCAAGTTCCAGGCAAGGCATTCTCTCTGCCCCAGCCCTGCTGGGGATCTGCTCCTTAGGCAGGCTGCCCTGTGCTGGCTCCATTTCAGCAAAAGTTATTCATTCAGCTTGTGCATCCCTCCCCTGTACCATTTACACAGCCCTTGCTTTCCTCTGGGAGTAGAGTTGGGATGAGTAAACTATCTTTATATATAGTCTGAGGGGCTTGGCTTTAACTCTCATTTATTACTCTTCCATTTCCTTTAACTTCTCCTTTCCAAAGATCAGAGTTCCTGGCCAAGTTCTGATGCAGTCTGTGAGGGTGACAGACAGGGTTTTACTATGATTGCTGGTGCGTGGGAAGCCATTCATCTCGAACTGCATTCTCCATGTTACTGAAGGCTAAATCGAAAAAGACCCCTGTCTTGCATGCCTTCGAAGGAACTATTCCGAGGATAGTTTAGAGTATTGAGACATTGATTCACTAAACATTGCTGCCCTCCTTATGTGTGGGCAGGCAAAGTCACCCATTATTGGTGATTTATTAGCTATAGGAGCCTCTTTGATCTTCTCCAACGTCGCACACTCAATATCCTCCTCCCAGGAGGCAGATGGGAGGAACAGCCCCATCAAAACACATGCATTATTATGACTTACTGTTTGTGTCCAAGGATTGTCTCCATGCAGGCACGGCACAGCGTCTCACTGGATTCAGGGGAATTTTTCTGAGCCCTACAACATATGCAAAAATAGAAGTTCCTCTTGGAGTGAAAAATTACGATACCAGCACCTCTAAATTGCTTTTAACGGCTTTCTGTGCTGCCTCTGGCTCAGAAGTGCTTAGTTTGCTGACAAAAATCATAGACTCACACACACTTGAGATGGAAAAGCCCTGCTAGGTTCAGCTAGTCCATTTCTCCTAGCAGGAAAGAAACATTCCCAGCAATCTGTTTTCCCTACTACTTTATCTTGTCTATTTTTAAGTATTCCATGTAGCAAAAATACATTTAGATTGTCAGGATTTCAGAGCCAAGTTAGCTGTGGAAGTACCAGCTGTAGCCTAATCTGTTTTGTCTGGTGGCAGCAGCTAAATTGCTCTCTGCTGCCTTTGAAGTCAATGGAAAAAGTCTTATTGGCTTCTCTGGGAGCATTCTCGGGCCTTTGGTACGGATGATTAGAGCAAATAGCTACAGAGCACTGATAAGCCATTCTTACACTATCACTTTCTAGGCCATAACTGCATTTTAATAGGCAAGAAATTGTCTCAGAGGCAGTCAGGGTGCAATAATAGCAACACCATGGGGAGCACAGGGCAACCTGAGACTTCACAGAAGTGGCTTCTGCAATGACCATACAAAATGACATCCAAAAACCCAAACTGATTTGGTGGAGTACATGATCTGAGGGTTATGACCAGAAGCAGCCTCTTTTGTGCCTTGTCTCTCTACTAAACCTGCCAGAGCCAGTTCAGCTTGTAGGTAGCTTCAACACGCTTTTCCTTCCCAACAGGTTTTAACTTCTTGAATGAAGGGAGCCCAGTGCATCAGAATACCCCTCCACATACTTGGATACAATATGGCATAGCTGTGGCACTGCCTACTGTGTTCGCCAAACGAAGAAAAACAGGAAAAACTTACTTATATCTTCTTTAGGTTTCAAACTAAAGAGGATATAAGGAAAAAAGTTTTTTACAATATGGGCAGTAAGGCACTGGCACAGACTGCCCAGAGGTGGGTTGGATGCCCCATCCCTGCAGACAGCCAAGGTCAGGCTGGATGGGCTCTGAGCACCTGATAGAGCTGCCCTGTGCATTGCAGGGGAGTTGGACCGGATGGCATTTAAAGGTCCTTTCCAACTCAAGCCATTCTGTGATTCTAAATCTGGTTGTTCTATTGCAGAGGTAGGAATGTACTCTGCAGCCCTCAGTTCACCCTCGGATGAAGCTGTCCTGTGAGATGGAGCAGTGACACAGCAGCCAGACGTAACCACAGCAAATCTCAGCCCTCTGCTTTCCCTTTCCACCTAAGTAACAATGGCAGGTAGTGGGAGCTGGGACTGGGTTTAATTTAGAAGTTGTGCTCAGCTGGGACAGCATTCTCTGCCTCCACATTTCCTGTCTGGAAGTTCTCCCAAAAGGAAGAATTAACCAATATATGACCTGTATGGGAAATGCACTTTATTGAAGCTATTTTTCTAGGGTAGAGCTGAACAGCTGTTTGACAGTGCATAGCTGCACTACACGAGAGACAGTAAAAACACATGGAATGAACAGTATTCAGGTGAAACCGTGCTGTGAGGAGGCAGAAGGTAATTGCCTCACTGCAATTTTTGTCTGTAAACAGAGGCTGATGCCTTTGTGTGTGCCATTGTGGGGTGCCACAGCATGATAGCAAGCACTAGGATGGGGACCTCAGCTCTACCTTCTCCACAGCCCCTTCTCATGCCATAAATTCAGAGAGATTACCACCAGCCCTGCAAGGAAAGCCCATTTACATCAGGGCTGGAGAGATGAGGATCTGAACAGAAGCTCTAAAAGCCACTTTTTTTTTTTTTTTTTTAAAGCCTGACATAAAGCACTGGCTGGATTTACCACGGGTTTCCTCCACACATCCATGAGTTACACACACAGTAAGTGTCCCGTCATCATGAATTCTGCCAACGTGTTCTTTTTAATGGTGCTGATCATAGGGAATTCATTTGGTCTTCATATAGCTGTCACCTGTATTACCAGAGCGATTCCATTCTAATTTAGCATTACTTAATGGAGAAGATAAAGTTAAGTGTTAGCCATGTGGGTCCTTTCTTGGCTTCTCTCTCTCTCTCTGACACAGCAAGAGTGAGACTGCAGGGTGTTTTATGGCCAATAATTCAAAAGAGCAGGGAAAAGAAGGAGCAGCAAATATCAACTGCATGTCAATCATCCACAGTCTTTCAGCTCAAATGGTTATATCCAGACCTCTGATCTTTTCTTCCGCTGCCTCTGATCCCCCTGTTTGTTTGGAGTTCTTTAGGTACTGCAACCATCAGAAATGCATTTTTTTAAAGGCTCAGATCTAGGAAACCTGCTGCAGATCCCCATAATCACACAAAGATGTGGTATACAAAAACCTCTCCTAATGGCTGCAGTATAGCAGCCAAATTACAACCAGCCTGGCTGGATGGCAGTGATGGGGTACCCTACAAGCAGGCTGAATACATGAGAGCAAGGTGGGGAAACGGATTATTTGTATAGCATCAGTTATACAGCAACAAGTGATTTGTTCTCCCAAGCCCCTCCGCCCCCCCTCTTTTTACCCAGCTCAGAAAGGTAATCATTCTGCATATATCACCAGCTTGTTTAAAGTGGAGATGAAAAGCTACAAAAGTACAACTTAATTGAACCCTGTATTGTGTTATTACAAATGCTGCCGACCTCAGTTGCAGTCCATTATCAGAGGGTTCTGCTGAATGCTTTAATTAAAGACAATAAGGCTAAT